CCTGCTGACAGATGTCTGCTACCTTTAAAACACTGGATATGCAGCAACACCCTGCTTTCCCTTCTGTTGAGGCAGGACTGTAACTTCTACTTCAGCATTATTTAAATATATACTATTCTGGAAAAAGCAAAATCCTGTAATTTTCCCTCTCTTGGAGAGGGGCTGCTGGATGATGGGATACTAATATTTTTGGGTTTTGTTTTTTTTGTTTTGTTTGTTACTTGGTGATTCTGGAGTTGGTGTATTTAGACACAACATAGGAAGTAGTTACCTATGCATTGGTCTTCAGCTCCTGGCTGCAGGCTCTGCAGCCTGCAGAGGTGTGTGGTCTCCCAGTACACAAAACACAAACAAAAGGAGATATTTTCTTTTGTCCTTTCCCATGTAATCAGCTGTTGTGACTTGAAGGCTTGGTGTATTGCATCAGTGTGGGGAGAGGTGTGCTGGAAGGGAGGCTGCTGTGTAATGACTCTTGGTGGCTTGAATGATGTGTGTGTTTGCTCTTAAACATCTTAACCTGGTATAGAACAGTTTGGCCTTGTAGAAAAGAGTGGTGGAAGAAAAATGGATGGCAGTGGCTGGAGTAAGAAGTGTTTCTACTGTGACACAGCTGAGAGACAAAGAAACAGCATAAATTCCATTTCTCTACACAATCTACCCTTGAATTTTAGTAATCTGAACTTTTTGCAAACAATTTATTGATTATTTCTTTTTGACAAGAAAACACTCACGGTTTTTCCTGTGTTGGTGCTCCCCCCTAGGAGGCAAAACGCTAGCAAGGAGAGGTGGCTGCTTCAAAAACTCAAGGGATGCAGGTGAGATATTGCTACTATCAGTTGTTCCTAAATAGAAATCACAAAAAAGGCATTTTTAGGACACATCCTCAGTGCCTCCACCATGAAGAAACCAACTGAGGTCTCATCCCTCGTAGCAACAGGTTAGCAAAAGTAATTGCAGAATGTTTAAGACTTTTAGATCATTCTTTACTTAAATTGCATCAAACACTAAGAACACCTTGCAGCCATGAGAATAAGGCAGCGGGAATATCTTGGCTCAGCTCTGAGATAAATGGGGTGGCTTGTTACTTGTTTGATTTCAATCAACTTAAAAGGCTTGGTGTAACTTTCTAAAATGTTTTCTAAAACCATTCTATTGCACTTCAGTACAAAAGGCCTTGCCCAGGAGTTTATGGCTGTTCTTTCTCTTTTATTAACATGCGGTTTTCTGTCCCTCCAACCTTGCTATTGTCATAGCATTTCCCATCCAAGGATTCAAATGACTTTACAAACCTTAATTACATCATTCAGCTGACTTAAGGAAGGTGTGTAGTGGTTAGAGCACAGGGCTGAAAGTCAGGACTTGTGAATGCTATTTCTGGCTCTGCATTGACTCACTCTATAATCTTGATCAATTTATTTCTGACTCAGAAATTTTAATAGTCCTACTTCACTGATAAATATTCATGCCACAAGTATTACAGCAAATGCTTCCTGAATGATGGAAATTACAAATGCTCATGATGTTAGTCTGTGAGTGTCAGGGTTGCACAGTAGGACAGTGTTAACCAAGGCAGGTTTTCTATTCAAAATCAAAAGTAGCTCATTGTTCTGATTCCAATCTAGAATGTATCTGCAGCTTTTCTACCTGTAAGCAGCAGTTGTATTCTATTATTTCAGTTACTGCTTTCTTTTTACTAATGTACCTAATTCTGTTCCAGAAATATCCAAGGGACATAGAGATTTTCCACAAGATTTGATGTTTGTTACAGTCACACAGAGTATAGAAGTCAATTTGATAAGAAAAGAGTTAGAGAAGGTGGGTTTTCCATGACCATGCTTCAATATTTGGACACTTGACAACATGGGATAGATGAAAAGAAAATTAAAACAATTTGAAACTGGTATTCTAGCATGGAACAATGGTACATACAGGCCTTTTCTTTAGCTTGAAATAGTTCTGACACAAATGTTTCCTTTGCATGTGTAAGGGGGAGATAATGAAAAACAAACAGAAGTGGCTCTGTGTGACTTCCATCCCTGATGGAATTACTGAACTACTGTGCCTACAATAATGTAAGAAACCATAATTCATATTCTTGTGGTTGCTGATGGGAGTGGTTTATTATATAAAAGGCTCCTTTTGTGCTGTTGGGAAGCAAAATGTTTCTATGTATGTGTGAGACGGGGCTTAAGTTATGGAGTTCCACAAAAAAGGCTCCAGGTCTGAAAATAATCCTTAAAAGTTTAAGTGATGTCAAATGGAGGGCAGTTAGTAAAGTTGATTTCTCAAGCTCTAAAGGGGAATTAAGTCATCATCGGTGAGGAAGTTAGTATTGCTGGTATTTTTGTTAGTGAAAAAGGAGATCAGAAGCAGAACCCTGTCAAGGTTTTGCCATACCAGGTTATCTATGAAAACAAGCTCTGCCTTGAGGAAATTACTTGATTTTCAAGATTAAAACTGACTTTTATATTGAAATAAACAATTTAGAAGAACCTTATTTTCTAGATATCATAA